TGGAAAACTCAACAAGATTTGGGATAATATCAACAGCTATCGCCCACTTCGGATATGCAAATGTGGTAAATGTGTCTGCAATCTCGGAACACAACAAAGAAAGACCGAGAAGATGACATGGTTCAACAGTTTCTTTACGGTCTGAATGAAACTAAATTTCACACCATACGTTCAAGCTTGACGTCTCGTGTACCTCTTCCGGGGCTGGAAGAGGTTTACAACATAGTGAGACAAGAAGAAGATATGTTGAATAATAGAGTGTCTAAAGAAGAAAGAATTGATGTCTCTGCTTTTGCAGTTCAAGCACGTTCTGAAGTGAACTCAAAGCCCCAAAACAAGAAAGTCTGTAATCATTGTAATAGAGGAGGTCATTCACCAGAGAACTGCTTTATGTTGATTGGTTATCCAGAGTGGTGGGGAGACCGTTCAAGAGAAAAATCAAACTCGACCAGTTCAATAGGCCGTGGCAGAGGAAGATTTGGGCCTGGTTTTAGTGGAGGACAAACTCGGCCAACGTACGTGAATGCGGTCATGGCCGGGCCATCCTCATCTACTGAACAAGTGAACCGTGTAATCACTGACCGAGACCGTGATGCGGTTAGCGGGCTTACTGATGAGCAATGGCGTGGAGTTGTTAAGCTTCTCAATGCTGGAAGAAGTGATAACAAGTCCGATGCTCATGAAACTCTATCAGGTACATGTTCTCTTTTCTCTTCTTGGATACTTGATACAGGTGCGACACACCACATGACTGGAAAACTGGAATTGTTGAGTGATTTGAGAACTATGTCACCAGTTTTGATTGTGTTAGCTGATGGGAATAAGAGAGTGGCTGTTAGTGAAGGAACAATTAGACTTGGTTCACAACTGATTTTGAAATCAGTTTTCTATGTCAAGGAGTTGCAATCAGATTTGATCTCTGTTGGGCAGATGATGGATGAGAATCATTGTGTTGTTCAACTCGCTGATCACTTCCTTGTGATACAGGACCGCACTACGAGGATGGTGACTGGAGTTGGTAAACGAGAGGATGGAAGTTTTTGTTTTCGGAGAATGGAGAATGTAGCAGCTGTGCACACTAGTGTGAAGGGCTCTTTTGATCTCTGGCATAGGCGTTTGGGACACGCATCAAACAAGATAGTTAACTTGCTGCCTAAAGAGCTTTTGTCAAGTAGTAAAGATATTTTGGATAATGTATGCGATACATGTATGCGAGCTAAGCAAACTCGTGAAACATTCCCTCTCAGTGCTAATAGAAGTTCAGATATTTTTCAACTTATTCACTGTGATGTGTGGGGACCATACCGCACACCGTCTTATTCTGGTGCTCGATATTTCTTGACGATTGTTGATGATTTCTCACGTGGGGTGTGGGTATATTTGATGACTGAAAAAGGTGAGACACAGAAGCATTTGAAAGATTTCTTGGCCTTGGTTGAACGACAATTTGAAACTAAGATCAAAACTGTGAGAAGTGATAATGGGACTGAGTTCGTTTGTATGCGTGAGTATTTTTTGCAACATGGAATCACACATGAAACTTCATGCGTTGGGACTCCACATCAGAATGGAAGGGCTGAGAGGAAGCACCGGCATATTTTAAATATTGCGAGAGCTTTGCGGTTTCAGTCACATTTGCCGATTCAGTTCTGGGGAGAGTGCATCTTGTCGGCGGCTTATCTTATCAATCGCACACCGTCGATACTTCTTCAAGGTAAATCTCCGTATGAGATGTTGTACAAGACAGCTCCCCACTATTTTCACCTTCGTGTTTTTGGCTCATTGTGCTACGCACATAACCAGAATCATAAAGGAGATAAATTTGAGCCCAGATCAAAGCGTTGTATCTTTGTCGGGTATCCACACGGCCAGAAAGGATGGAGATTATTTGACTTAGAGGAACAAAAATTCTTGGTCTCTAGAGATGTAATTTTCCAGGAAACAGAGTTTCCATATGCAAAGGAGGAGTATAAAGAAGATGATGGTCCTATGCTGAGTTGTGTGAATCAATCTCCTATTTTGTCGAGCGTCATTGATCTTCTTGAAGTAAATGGGCCAAATGTCAGTACTCAAACAGGCCCAACAACTTCTGTCGTGACATCAGTCCTTGATAGTGAAGGCCCAAGTACTCAACAACTTGAGTCTGTCACTTCTCCGCCTCTTTTAGTTGAACCAGGGACCACGACAATGAATATTTCTCCTTTGCCGACTGAGTCATCTACGTCTCCGAATGCAATCACGGAGCCAACACCACTTGGGCGTGGACATCGTAAGAAAGAAAAATCGGTAATTTTAAAAAACTTTGTTACCAATACTGTGCGGGTAGAATCTGATTCCAAAGATGAATCTTCATCTTCTCTCTATCCTATTGAGCAATATGTTGATTGTCATCGCTTCTCCTCATCCCACAAGGCTTTTCTCGCTGCTGTTACCCTCGGTATGGAACCAACAACGTACAATCGAGCTGTGATTGAAAAAGTTTGGCGTGATGCTATGTCCGCTGAGATTGAATCTCTGCGCGTTAATCAAACTTTTTCAATTGTGAATTTGCCTCCAGGGAAGCGAGCCATTGGTAATAAATGGGTTTACAAGATCAAGTATCGCTCTGACGGGGAGGTAGAACGATACAAGGCTCGCTTAGTGGCATTGGGTAATCGTCAAGAAGAAGGAGTGGACTATGACGAGACTTTTGCTCCGGCCGCAAAAATGAGTACTGTGCGTGTGTTTCTTGGAGTCGCTGCTGCTCGTGACTGGCATGTACATCAAATGGATGTACATAACGCATTCCTACATGGTGATCTGACGGAGGAAGTGTATATGAAATTGCCTCAGGGATTTAAATGTGATGATCCGACCAAGGTATGTCGTCTTCATAAGTCTTTATACGGTCTAAAACAAGCTCCGAGATGTTGGTTCTCTAGGCTTTCTTCCGCCTTGAAACAATATGGCTTCACACAATCATTGTCTGATTACTCTTTGTTTAACTACAACAATGATGGCATATATGTTCATGTCCTCATATATGTTGACGATTTGATCATTTCGGGTAACTGTTCTGAGGCTATTGCTCAGTTCAAATTATATCTGGAATCTTGTTTCCACATGAAAGACCTTGGTTTACTCAAATACTTTCTCGGTATTGAAGTAAGCCGCAATGATCAAGGATTCTACTTGTCCCAACGGAAGTATGTTCTGGATATTATTTCTGAAATGGGACTTCTTGGAGCTAAACCATCAGCTTTCCCACTTGAACAAAATCATAAACTCTCGCTGTCCAAGTCTCCTCTTATATCTGATCCTGCAAGGTATCGTCGTCTTGTTGGGAGGCTTATTTACTTGGCTGTCACACGTCCTGAGTTGTCTTACTCCGTTCACACTCTAGCACAGTTCATGCAACATCCGCGTCAAGATCATTGGGACGCTGCAGTTCGAGTTGGTCGTGACTTAAAATCTAATCCAGGACAAGGAATTTTGCTCTCTCGCAATTCCACTCTTCAGCTTAATGGTTGGTGTGATAGTGACTATGCGGCTTGTCCTCTCACTCGTCGTTCTCTCACAGGATACTTTGTGCAGCTTGGTGATACTCCCATATCGTGGAAAACGAAAAAGCAGCCCACTGTTAGTCGCTCTTCCGCGGAGGCTGAATATCGAGCTATGGCGTTTCTCACTCAAGAACTCATGTGGCTCAAGAGGGTGCTTTATGATCTCGGTGTCACTCATGTTCAACCTATGCGTATCTTCTCTGATAGTAAATCTGCAATTGCTCTAAGTGTCAACCCGGTTCAACATGAGCGCACCAAACATGTTGAGGTGGACTGCCATTTTATTCGTGATGCTATCGTGGCTGGTATTGTTGCTACTACTTATGTTCCTTCTCATCTACAGCTCGCCGACATCCTCACTAAAGCATTGGGTCAAAAGGAAGTTGGTTTCTTTCTTCGCAAGTTGGGCATTTTCGATGTGCATGCTCCCACTTGAGGGAGGGTGTTAAAGCTATTGCTACTTCTATAACGTGTTTAGCTACTGCTATTTATCTATAACGTGTATAGCTTGGTCAGTAGCTTAGATAGCTTAGTCAATATCTTCGTTTGTCCCTTTTGGTCATTTTCTACACAACACTTTAGGTGATATCTCTCTCTCTGTATAACAATGCATTGAGGCTTGAATAATAAAAACACAGAAGATAAACCAAACACATCTTGTTCTTGTCCTAAAATTATCAGTCTTTTTTTAGTATATTTATAATGCTATGAAATTTTTTTTATCGAAATACTATGTCGACGGAAACACTAAATATTTTCGGAGACTACAAATTCAAAAGAGAAAAGTAAAACTCTAATTACCGAATAACTAACTAAAATCATAAAAAAAAAAATATGAATCAATGTCAAATCTTATTTCCTCACCAATGTAAATTTTAAGCAAAACGATCCCACACAATTAATAGATGCTTTTATTTTTGGAAAAAACTCTTAAAAATTCGTCATATATTATTTTTCTTGACGTTTAGTACTTTGTATTTTCTTTTTATTATGTCAAATAGTTGTTTTTCTATGATCATCTATATATATATATATATATATATCAATCATTATTTTGTTTACTTAATTGGGATCAATTTTCAACCAAACAAAATAAAAATACCTAAAAAAATTGTATAATTAAGATGGTACATACCAAACATCAGTGACCATCTAGATATAAATCTGACGAAACAAATAAATACACAGAACTATATATTTGGCACAAATGCACAACCCTGTCGGTTCGTAGCACAGTTAAAACGTGATTTGCGGAAATCAATAATTCGAGATCTGTTGAATCCTAACCACATAAAAATGTTGATAAGGAAAAGGACCCTTGAAATAATTGAGCAATGTTTTTATGTATTCTTTAACTATTTAACTTACATCTTTAATATGACTAGTGTCTAGTTGGCACATTTCTCATAGTTTTTTTTCTATATATAGTATTAATTTGTATATCCCTCTTCACTCACACAAATATTTCAATACACACGAGAGCAATAAGAAGATGGTTAATCTTGTGTTAAGTGAAGCAAACAACGTTCCTCTAACGCCCATAACATTCTTGAAGAGAGCTTCCGAGTGTTATCCTAACCGAACTTCGATAATCAACGGACAAACTCGTTTCACTTGGCCTCAGACATATGACCGTTGTTGTCGTCTTGCTGCTGCTCTCATATCTCTTAACATTGCTAAGAATGATGTGGTATGTCACACTGTCTCTCTTTCTCTCTCATTGTTTCATTCATATACATAACTTTGGCTTTATATGTCAATATGTTTAGGTATCAGTTGTGGCACCAAACATACCGGCCATGTATGAGATGCACTTTGCCGTTCCCATGGCCGGAGCTGTCCTTAACCCTATCAACACTCGTCTGGACGCAACATCCATTGCCGCTATCCTTCTCCACGCCATGACTAAGATCTTGTTCATTGACCGCACTTATGAGCCGTTGGCTCGAGAGATCCTTCATCTATTACCATGTGACAACTCAAAACAGAACCTGCGGGTCATCTTTATTGACGAGTTTAATTCCCCTAGAAGGCTCTCAGTCGAGGAGTTAGACTATGAGGGTCTCATCCAGAGAGGAGAGCCTACGCCCTCGATGGTCACACGTATGTTCCGTATTCAAGACGAAAATGATCCGATCTCCTTGAACTACACGTCAGGTACCACGGCCGACCCAAAAGGTGTGGTGATTACCCACCGAGGAGCATATTTGAGCACATTAAGCGTGATTATTGGTTGGGAAATGGGAACATGTCCCGTTTACCTTTGGACTCTCCCTATGTTTCATTGCAATGGATGGACGTTTACATGGGCAACGGCCTCGCGCGGGGGCACCAATGTGTGTATGAGGAATGTGACTGCCCCGGAGATCTATAAGAACATAGAAATGCATAATGTGACACATATGTGTTGTGCTCCTACGGTTTTCAACATTCTCCTGCGAGGAAAGAGGCTTGACCTGTCACATAGGTCCCGGCCGGTCCATGTGTTGACCGGAGGTTCACCACCCCCCGCTGCTCTTCTTAAGAGAGTTCAGGAGTTGGGTTTTCAAGTGATGCATGCCTATGGACTTACGGAGGCCACTGGCCCAGTTCTCTTTTGTGAGTGGCCAGATGAGTGGAACAGGTAATAATAATTGTTATATTCAAGTTTATTTATAACGTTACTTATTTAAAAATAATTCACTATTATCATATTTGACAACCCAATTACTTAACTGAAACAGATTACCAGAAAATCAACAAATGGAGTTAAAAGCAAGGCAAGGGCTAGGCGTCTTAGGCATAGCTGAAGTTGACGTGAAGAACAATGAAACTCAAGAGAGTGTTCCACGCGATGGGAAGACGTTAGGAGAAATAGTTATTAGAGGAAGCGTCTTAATGAAAGGATATTTAAAGAATCCTAAAGCTACATTTGAAGCGTTTAAACATGGATGTTTCAGCACTGGGGACGTAGGAGTGATTCATCCGGAGGGATACATCGAGATCAAAGACCGGTCCAAAGACATAATCATCTCGGGTGGCGAAAACATTAGTAGTGTTGAACTCGAGAATGTTCTTTATAAGCACCCAAAAGTGCTTGAGGCTGCCGTCGTTGCCATGCCTCACCCAGCATGGGGTGAAACCCCTTGTGCATTCGTTGTTTTAGAAAAAGGTGAGAATGATAAAAAAGGCCATGAATATAAATTTGTGACCAGAGAGAGAGATTTGATAGAGTATTGTCGTGAGAATCTGCCACATTTTATGTGTCCGAGAAAAGTGGTGTTCTTGGAAGAACTGCCTAAAAACGGGAATGGCAAGATTCTTAAGCCTAAACTACGAGACATCGCTAAAAGTTTGGTAGATGAGAAGGATGACGTCACTGCTAGATCTAAAATAGTTCAATCGCGTGATGACAAACCTTGGATCGCTCACTTTACGTCTCGACTTTGAGTTCGTGAATCTACTAAGTAATGATAAAATTATATGTATACATGGATGGACGACTAAATATAGACCGTAATAATCAATTATGTACTGACTAAATGGAAATTTAAAATATATAATTTTTTACCATCTTTTGATCAACTCAACCACACATTGAACCAAAAAATATCATTTGGTTACCAAATTAAAGGATAAGAGTTTAAAGATAAAACAAAAAAAGTTCATATTTCTACCAAACAAAACAGTCCACCAAAGACTTTGAACTAAGAGGAAGATACATAGAAGACTTAATGACTATGTACGTAAACAAGAGAAAGGAAAAGACTAGCTAGAGGTGATTGGTGGTGACTTTGACGGTGGAGCGGGGAGAAGGAGGCTCTCTGGTCGTCTTTCTTTTAGGGCTGTGGAAGAACTAAGGGGGCACGAGCAGGTCCGGCTCAACAGGGGTGGACATAAGGACAGTGGTCTATGGGTCCGAGTACTTTTAAAAAAAAAATTTAAGACTTAAAAGTCCATTTTTGTTGTAAAATAGTAAATTAGGGGACCAAAATAATATTGTATCCATATAATATGATCCATTTTCGTATTTTCTTTTGTGAAAGAACCTATTTATGTATAAAAATATCTTTAAAACAAGTTTTATGGGCCCAAAAAAATTGAATCTCTTTGGTATAAATTAGATAAAAGGCCAAAAAAGTTTTTTTGCCTATGGACATGCCAAATTGTTGAGCCGAGGCTGGACAGAGAAAGCACCAAGGAAGCACAATTTAGTCATCCTTAAATTAAAATGTGGTATTTATAGGCTCGAGTTAAGGTTAAGAGTTAAGACGCCAAAACAACGTCGCTTTGCTAAGTGAATATATGGACAAGGTCTTCATCAGGATAGGCCATGTGGGCTGTGACCGGAGTGTTGACTCGTTGTGTAGGCATGAGACCGTTCACGGCTTTTATGGCCTGTGTGGTCGTGTGGACAAGAAGCTCACGACTGGTCGCACGTCATTTAGCCCATCTGCCACATCTTGGTTGATTGAGCATAATTTCTAAATGTTTGCCCGGGTTGGATTAACATTAATAAAAGTTCAAAATATCATTAACAAGTATAGTATTATCATTTTATTATCTTGTTAATACTAGTAATAGTAGAATATAAAACGTGTCAAATTATGTTTCTTCAATTACGATGATGTAAAACATTATCTTACGGTGTACTATAAGTTAATTCTTAGTGTCACAATTAAAAAAGATTACTTAAAGAATGTATTGAATCTAATACTTTTATTAATTGTTTTGAGTTTACATATAATATATAGTTTGATCATTTTGAAAAACGTTGTTATAATTTATTCTAGAGTATTTTCCAAATCTCACCTAAAACTCTTTAGTTGTCAAATACGTTACTGACAACTAATCTTTGACTTTATATAAAAAAATGATCATGCTTAAACGAGTTGAATATAAAATGTGAGGTGACTCTCGAGTCGATTACTTTAAGAGGTCAAGTGGTTGCATTAAAAATGATCAAAAAGAGTACATTTAATGTAATTTTGTCTTTACCAATCATAACACCATAAAATACTTTATTAAATATAGTATAAAACAAGAGCTGGAAAACGTCGACATCAAAATGTTCATAAAAGAAATGGACCTCGAAATAATCGAGGAGTGTTTTTTTTTTCTTTTTGTCTTTTTTTTTCTTTTATTCTTTTATTATTTATTTTTAATATATATAGTAACTATTTCTGTAACCCTCTTCACTCGCACAAACATTTCATTACCTATTGAAAAGAAAGATTAGAAGATGGATAAACTGGAGTTATGTGAAGCAAACAACGTTCCTCTAACTCCTATAACGTTCTTGAAGAGAGCTTCCGAGTGTTATCCTACTCGAACTTCAATAATCAATGGACAAACTCGTTTCACTTGGCCTCAGACCTATGACCGTTGCTGTCGTCTAGCCTCTTCTCTCATATCTCTTAACATTGCTAAGAACGATGTGGTAATATGTCACACTCTCTTTCTTTCTCTCTCATTCTGTTAAATCAGGCATATGTGTTGTGTCTTTAGGTATCCGTTGTGGCACCAAACATACCGGCCATGTATGAGATGCACTTTGCCGTTCCCATGGCTGGAGCTGTCCTTAACCCTATCAACACTCGTCTGGACGCAACATCCATTACCGCTATCCTGCGCCACGCCAAGCCCAAGATCTTGTTCATTGACCGGAGTTTTGAGCCCTTGGCTCGAGAGATCCTCCTGCTACTACCATGTGAAAACTCACAACTGAACTTGCGGGTGATATACATTGACGAGATCAATTCCCCTAGAGTGGTTTCACCGGAGGAGTTAGGCTATGAGGGTCTGATCCAGAGGGGAGAGCCTACGGCCTTGTTGGTATCACGTATGTTCCGTATTCAAGACGAACAAGATCCTATCTCTTTGAACTACACCTCGGGTACCACGGCCGACCCAAAAGGTGTGGTGGTCACTCACCGAGGAACATATTTGAGTACGTTAAGCGCGATTATTGGCTGGGAAATGGGAACCTGTCCTGTCTACCTTTGGACTCTCCCTATGTTTCATTGCAATGGATGGACGTTTACATGGGCAACGGCCGCACGTGGGGGTACCAATGTGTGTATGAGGAATGTGACTGCACCGGAGATCTACAAGAACATAGAAATGCATAATGTGACACATATGTGTTGTGCTCCTACGGTTTTCAACATTCTCCTGCGAGGAAATAGGCTTGACCTGTCACAAAGGTCAGGGCCAGTCCATGTGCTTACTGGAGGTTCACCGCCGCCTCCTGCTCTTGTTAAGAAAGTACAACGGTTCGGGTTTCAGGTGATGCATGCCTATGGGCTTACGGAAGCTACAGGTTCAGTTCTCTTTTGAGAGTGGCAAAGTGGAACAGGTATCATTGATACAATTTTAAACTTGTATATACAATAAGCTTTCATGTTTCGTTTAACATTTTCCAAAATAATATGTTATTTATAGAAGGGGGATTCTTTTTAACAAAAAATGTTTGATTGTTATGAATTTTCTAACTTACAACCATGCTAAATATTAGTAAGTTCAATATGACAACCCTATTACTCAACTGAAACAGATTACCAGAGAATCAACAGATGGAGTTGAAAGCAAGGCAAGGGTTAGGCATCTTAGGCCTAGCTGAAGTTGACATAAAGAACAACGAAACTCAAGAGAGTGTCCCACGAGATGGGAAGACCATGGGAGAAATTTTCATGAAAGGAAGCAGCATAATGAAAGGGTATTTAAATAATCCAAAAGCCACCTTCGAAGCATTTAAACATGGATGGCTCAACACTGGGGATGTAGGTGTGATTCATCCTGATGGACACATCGAGATCAAAGATAGGTCCAAATACATAATCATCTCGGGAGGCGAAAACATCAGCAGTGTTGAAGTCGAGAATGTTCTTTATAAGCACCCAAAAGTGCTTGAGGCTGCCGTCGTGGCCATGCCTCACCCTACGTGGGGTGAAACCCCGTGTGCGTTTGTTGTTTTACAAAGGGGTGAGGATGATAAAGAAGATTGTGAAGATAAATCTTTGACCAGAGAGAGAGATTTGATAAACTTTTGCCGTGATAATCTGCCACATTTTACGTGTCCGAGAAAAGTGGTATTTTTGGAAGAACTGCCTAAAAACGGAAATGGCAAGATCCTTAAGCCTAAGCTAAGAGACATCGCTAAAGGTTTAGTTGATGACAGTAAGGTCAATGTTACATCTGAAATAGTTCAACGACGTGAAGATAAATTGCGGGTCGATCGTATTACTTCTCGACTTTGAGTCTATAATTTCACGACTTCCAAATGTGTATTATTATCAATTAGGTAATGAGAATTTATCTATATTGATTGATAGACGAATAAACATAGACCATTATAATCATTATTACCTATTTATGATGGGTTTTAGAGTTATTTTTTATAGCAATTCCAAAGTAAGATTATTGATGCCCAAATAAGCTTATTAAGATTGATTAAACTAAGAGATTAGATAGTTCATAGAGAGCTTTATTCAAATCTAAACTAAAAGATAAAAGCAAAGAACTTAAATCTTGTCACCAAGAGCGAACAATATTAGATTTGATATTTCATAAGATTGAAAAGGGAGAGTTGTTTTGAGACTACTCTCAAGGGTATATTCTAAGTTCTCATTACATGAATATATATTTATTCATCTTGGTAAGAACCCTAATTAAATGAAATCACATTAGGGTTGGGCTTGTCATTCTTTTGGACTCTAATACATGTTTTTTTTTTATCAACCACACATTTAGACTCTAATACATGTTTGACAGCTATTACTATTATGTTCTTAATAGAGATTGTAATATCCCTAAATTCTCATATGACTTTGATTAGTAGGTAGTTAAGTTATTACTAATAGATTACTTACAATGGAAGTGTGTATAAATTGTTGTCAACAGTTGAAATGCTACAACTGGATCGATTAATTGTTATAATATATAATTATATAAATATAAAAGAATCATAAATTAAAAATAGTGGGATATGGTGTTGAATAATTTTAAACAAAACCATTGTAAGTGAAAAAAATTGAATGTGTGTTGAATACGAGGTGGAAGACAGAAAAATAAATGGTAAAAATTAGGGTATTGATAAATCTAACCATTGTACATAGTCTTAGTTCATGAACACAAACATACACATCTCCTATTTATATGAAAACAATCTAAGAGTAAGTTTAATGTGTATAATTTGTTTAAGGTATATATGAAGTTTTATTTTAAATTTTCAACCATGAGATCCACTACTTAAAATGTTTGTTCAATGGCTCTAGATCACCAATGTGAACAAAGCCATCCCACAGAATCTAATAGATGCTTTTCTGATATGTACAAAATAGAAATACCAAAAATGCATAAAATTAAATAATTATAAAACCAAGACGGTAAATACACAAACATCACTGACCATCTATATTTAAATTATACGAAACAAACAACATCACTGACCACAGTTTTATTTATTTATTTATTTTAACTAGCACAATTAAATCGTGGCTTACGGTT